TCCAGCCTCATCAAACAACACACACACACACACACACACACACACACACACACACAAGAGCAGCGAAAGCATTCTTGCTCTTTTCCTGACATTTATGTTAGGAGATAAACACAGGGATTATGAAGACCTGAGCTCAACATCCAGCCTCATCAAACAACACACACACACACACACACACACAGGAGAAAAGGGAGATAAATCTCTGTTGTTGAACGATAGGAAAGATAGAAAAACAGCTGTGCCCTGTTACTCCCCTCTTGACATTTATGTGAGGAAATAAATGAAAGGATGAAGACCTGATCACAGACACACACACACACAGTCTTTATGATCAGCTGTGTTTGGGAACTGATCATGTGTGTGTGTGTCTGTGTGTGTGAGGGATTTGTGTTCCTGTAGAGTGACTCATAAAACAGAGCGGCACAAAGCAGAAAATTGAAAGCATCTCATATGTGTCACAGATCACACAGGGCAACAGATAAAACACCCTGACCGGGTCACTAACACACACACACACACACACACACACTCCTCAGTTCATGCATTTCATCTTTCAGTCATGTGACAGTGGTCTGAAATCGCCCACAGGACATTCATTTTATCTGCTTCATTTTAGTGTTTCCTTAAATTTTTGCATTAGGGAAGCCCACTGTAATTAGTCAACACTAAACTAAGGAAGCCTATTTCGGTTTCAGAGTATAACACAACTGTGAGGTTAAGTTTAAAAATGAGAAATAAAAATACCATGCTCACATATAAAGTCCCTACTTATTTATTTATTACTTTGAGTCAGAAACAGGCTTTCATACTAAATGCTATTTATGTATTTATTTACTGTCACAAATTCACAATTACCTTGTTTGTGAATTTGACTGCAACGGTCACTCTGTTTTTGACTATGTTTGTTTATTCTGCCATATGTTTTTTTTTTTCTTGTTGAATGTTCTGTTCCTTTTGCAATATGTGACATTATGGAAGTAAAATGGGTTGTGAATTCGCTTTATATTGACTTTTATGAGATGCTGTGACCTTGAGAACAGGAAGGCAGAAGGTGAGATGAAAATCAAAGCAGAAGTGCTAGACAGCACTGATCTGTGACCAGGTTTTGAGGATTAAACTGAAGTGTTTGGCATTATCATAAAACTGGATTCCAATCAGTTGCTGACAGACTCAATGTTTCCTGAACCACATCTACAGCGCCACAGCAAAAGAAATGATATTTTAGCAAAGTTGTGAACTTGCCATGTGAATTGAATGTAATGAGACAGAAAGATTTGTCTCCGTGAAGTAATAAAAAGACAGCTAGAAAACTTTCAGTGTTAGCTTGAAAAACCTGGGTCTCAATGTTGAAAAAGCATTGAGGTCTAATGCATTTGGAATACTAAATGTTGAGTTGGAGATGATATTCTTTGTCAAGTCAACATAATAAATACAAAACACGTTTTGGTATTGCACATAACATCAAACAAACAGTGTGACAAATGTAATCTGATTCATGAATGAATGACTCATGATTATTTGAAAAAAAATACAGTAAAACAGGCTGAAACTGAAAGATATGTATTATTTTATATATGTATGTACATATATATATATATATATATATATATATATATATTGCATGTAAAATATATGTAAAATTATATATTTGTTTAAAATATTATTTTAAGTAATATTTGCAGGGGTAAAATACTTTTGTAGCACATATCAATAACTGCACATATCAATAACAAATAATTAACACATCCAAATGAAAATATTATTTAAAATAGTTGTATTTGGATGTGTTAATTATTTTATTTGGTATATGCACAAAAATAATGTTTAACACTGTTTTTGTTACATTGCCATACTATAAATTAAAGCTATTATTTTTTATGTATTATATATGACTGTGTGTGTGTGCGTGCGTGGGTGCGTGCGTGCATGCGTGCGTGCGTGTGCACAATTTCACTTTTTAAATAATGATTTAATATGTATTATATATGTGTGTGTGTGTGTGTGTGTGTGTGTGTGTGTGTGTGTGTGTGTGTGTGTGTGTGTGTGTGTGTGTGTGTGAGTGAATGTTATACATGAATATATATGACTGTTTTTAATATTAAAATACAAATTGTATATTTAAATTTAAGTTGTTTTACTTGCATGGGGGAATTTTTTGATATGCTGCAAAAATATTTTTTAATATTGGTTTTTAATTACATTGACATAAAAAGAAGCTATTATCTTTTAGATGTATGACTCTTCACATCTAATAATTTTAATAAATTTACTTAATTCATTTATATGTATATTTGTGTGTGTGTGTGTATATATATATATATTTTGTAATAATCCCTTCAGCTTTCACTCCTTCTGTATTTTCTCTCCCTCATCTGTCTAATTCAGCATGAGGTTCATTTTCTTTAAACGGGAGCTGGTGTGACACACATCTCCACAAACACCCCTCCCGACATTCACACACACACACACACACACACACACACACACACACAGCCCCTCCGCACTCTCAGAACCCATTACCTTCCACTTTCTCCTCATCATTCCATCATTCCCATCTCTCCCGCTCGTTCTCTGTCTTGCTGGCTCAGTGTACAGCTCAAGAAGGGCAAGGTGACATTGTGTGTCATATCAGCATTCCACAGCAGCTCTCTCTCTCTCTCTCTCTCTCTCTCTCTCTCTCCATCGCAGCCCCTCCGCACTCTCAGAACCCATTACCTTCCACTTTCTCCTCATCATTCCATCATTCCCATCTCTCCCGCTCGTTCTCTGTCTTGCTGGCTCAGTGTACAGCTCAAGAAGGGCAAGGTGACATTGTGTGTCATATCAGCATTCCACAGCAGCTCTCTCTCTCTCTCTCTCTCTCTCTCTCTCTCTCCATCGGTCTCTCTCTCTTTCTGTCTCTTTTGCACCTTTTCTCTGTTGTGAGAGTAATTACCGCAGACTCATGAGTCTCAATTTGCCATTAAAGAACAAGAGCCTGAGGTAGAGAGAGAAAGAAAGAGAGAGAGAGACGGATAAAGGAGAGAGGAAGATGTGTGTTTACGGAGCGAAAGGCAGGCAGGGTAAATAGAGAGTGTGAAAACAGAAAGAAAAGTAGATTTCTAGCAGGAAGAGACGTTATCTCAGACAGAAATGCATTTGCAGCTCTCTGAACACAAGCAGTTTTCCTCCGAATGAAAACTTAGCTTGCACAATGCCTGTGTTTACTCCGTCATCACTTCTACTTTCTGTCGGGCTCACATGCAGACATATATACACAAACATATATACAGAAAAAATATTTTCTCACTAAGTGTGTCTGTTTTGTTTTCCAGTACAAATAACAAAACATTCTTAAATAAAGATGCATTTACTTGAGAAGCAAAATGACAGTATATTAAGAGCCAGATTATAAACAATATAAACAGAGCAAATTAGCATGAAAACAATATACAAAAAATATTTTCATGACTAATTTTTCACTGCTTGTCTTTAGTAATTCCTGATAGTAGTTTCCCTTCAGGAACTCGAACTGCGTCGAGATTCGCTTTGGGAACGCCCCTGCGTGACCGCGTTCTGACGCACGTGTCAAATCAGCCCAATGGAGCAGCGAGACGTCACGAGCGGGGTGACGTAAGCACCAGAAAGTATAAAAGCGCATCCGGCAGAGCGCAAACCAGCTTCTGCTCTTCAGTATCGCTCTGTGTATGTGTCTGTCTATTTACTGTTGTCTGTCAGTACAAGCATTTAAAAACATATCATGAAAAAGTCTGTCTATGGCGAGCGAACAGCATTACAAACACTGTGTTCCTCTCTGCCCACGATATCTGGCGGCGGGGTATACACACGATTTGTGTGTTGTTTGTTTGGGAGCGGAGCATGCACGGTCAGCTCTCGAGGGAGCTGATTGTCATGACTGCGAGCTGCTCTCGCTGCACGGCCAGGCTCGCGATCCCGCTGGCAGCGGTCCCGCTGTTGCCGAGGCACAGCGCAGACTGTTGTCATGGGATCGCAAGTGGATTTAGCAGAGGGATCCGAGATGGGCTCGTCCTTTTCTCGGTCCTCACCCGCTAGATCCGCGGCTCTCTCTCAGGGCTCGGAAGCCCGCGCAGCGGTTTCTTCACCTCGGAGAGAGAGCCAGACACTTCATCTATCTTCCTCCGAGGAGGTAGAGGTGATGAGTGTTGAGACAGAGGAAACTGTGGACTCGCCACCGCAATCCCTCGCGTATGAGGAGCTTGTGGAGGTTGTGACTCATGCTGTAGCCAAGTTAAATATCGATTGGCCAGCCGAGAAACAGGACACTCGTCCTAAAAGCAAATTAGACAAGCGTTTCATGAGGGCTAGATCACAGCTTTCACAACGGGGCCTTCCGTTTTTTCCTGATCACCATGCCAAGGTGTAAAGATCGTGGGAAAAAAACGTATTCTTCCCGTATCTACAGCCCCACAGTCTCTAATTATTCCAATATCGTGGGGCTGAATGAGAAGGAATATGGGACGATGCCAATGGTGGAGCAGACGCTTGTGAGCTATCTCTCCCCATCCTCAGCATCATCCCTGAAGGCCCCGAAGCTTCCCACCAGGCCTGTTAAGATGACATCTAGTCTGGTTGGGAAAGCTTATACGGTGGCAGGTCAGGCTGGCGCATGTTTGCACACCATGGCGGTGTTACAAGCATACCAGGCTGACCTGCTCAAGGACCTGAATGACAGGGAGGAGGAGGAATCTGACATGGTAGCTAAACTGCGTCGGGCCACAGATTTGTCCCGCCGAGCCACCAAAGAAACGGCCAGAGCCATCTGCCGTTCAATGGCAGCAATGGTGGCCACAGAGCGGCATCTGTGGTTGAATCTGTCCGATATGCAAGATAAGGACAGATTCTTCCTCCTAGACGCCCCGCTCTCGCCCTATGGCCTTTTCGGCGATGCAGTTAACACTGTCACTGAATACTGTGGTTTCAGGTGGTGAGGAAGCAAGCGGCGGCGTTTCAGCGTTTCCTCCCTCGTCGCTCCCAGGCTCATGGGGCTGCTGAGAGGTAGCAGCCCCAGCTGTCAAGCTCCTCATACCGCCAGTCACAAAAGCAGAGCGTTGCAACCCGCACCCTTCCGCAAAAAGAACGTGGGTCGGGGCGACGCTCTCAGTCGGGGTCTTCTAGACCGAAGACAGCTCTGCGGACCATTATTTTGTTGAAGAGGACCTCGACTAAGTGGTCCTGACGCCAACATCGTCAGGCCCCTGAGGGCAGCCCCACCTGGGGAGGAAAGGATAACACCTCAGTATACGGTGCCTGATCCTCCTCAGTGCCCTCACGGAGAGTCACTGATACCCCTGCCACCCTCGGTGCTTCAGGGCTCAGTGAGCTCCAACGAGCGAAATTCCCAGCTGCCGCTCGGCAACGGTACGGCACGGGAGAGCTCGCCCCCTCGAGTGAGGGTGCTACAGCAGTCAGGTCGGTCGTTCCCTGCCGATCATCCGCTTCAGGGCACCGAACTGGCTCCTCTAATAACACCAGAGGCCAGCCTCGAGAGGCTGGTTCCCTTAGTAGATTTTCTGGCAGCGTGGAAACTTCTACCAAATATCTCAAAATGTGTCCTGCAGATTGTAGAGAAAGGTTACAGAATCCAGTTCGGTTCTCGTCCGCCTCGTTTCAACAGGGTCATCCCCACACTAGTGGGCCCCGAGCAGGCTCTGGTAATGGAACAAGAAGTAGATACTCTTTTGAGGAAGGGGGCCATAGAACGTGTTCCGCCTCTCCGGGTTCTACAGCCGTTACATCATCGTTCCGAAGAAGGATGGGGGGTTGCGTCCGATCTTAGATCTCCGTCTTCTGAACCGCGCTATTTCTCATGGGCTGGGGAGTGGTCGTGAGTGGCCGCTCTGCCCAGGATCTGTGGGACAGCCATCATCTCTTTTGGCACATCAACTGCCTGGAGATGCTGGCCGTGTTTCGAGCTCTGACACACTTCCTTCCAGACCTAAGGGGGCATCATGTGCTTGTTCGCACAGACAACACATCGGTGGTCTCCTACATCAATCGGCAGGGGGGTCTGCGTTAGCGTCCCTTGTACAAGCTGGCGCGCCAGATCCTTCTGTGGGCTCAGGGGAAGCTCTTCTCTCTAAGAGCAAGGGAGTTCTGGAGAGAGTACCCCGGGATGGGGCCCGTCTGTTGCTAGTAGCCCCCTCCACTCTGAAGGTATACGTGGCGGCCTTAGCTGCTTACCATGCTCTTCCGGGTGGTCAATCATTGGGAAGACACCCACTTATCACTCGTTTCCTCCGTGGCACCCTGAGGCTGAGGCCGGCACAGCGCACTAAGGTGTCATGGGACCTGTCATGGGACCTGGCTGTGGTTCTGGAGGGCTTATGCAATGCCCCCTTTGAACCCATAGAAGAAGTTTCGGTCAAGTTGCTCACGCTCAAGACCATCTTTCTGCTCGCTATTTCCTCACTAAAAAGGATCGGGGATCTTCAGGCACTTTCTGTTTCGTGCCTGGAATTTGCTCCAGGCATGGTTAGGGCATTCCTTTACCTGAAGGCTGGGAAGGTCCCTAAGGTGCCCACTTCTTCACCGGGGCCCATAGTACTTCAGGCATTCTGTCCTCCTCCATTCCAGGAAGTAGGCCAAGAAAGGCTTAATCTGCTCTGTCCAGTTCGAGCACTGGACGCTTACGCACACAGAGCTGCCCCATGGCGTAAGGCAGATCAGCTGTTTGTTTGTTTTGGTCTGCCAAAAAAAACATCTCCAGCGACCAAGCAGACCATGAGTAGGTGGGTGGTCGAGGCCATCTCACTAGCTTACGAGTCCTCTGGCCTCCCGTCTCCTATGGGGGTCAGAGCGCACTCGACCAGGAGTATGGCGGCCTCCAAAGCTTTCAACTTGGGTGTGGCCTTGCAGGACATTTGTGCTGCGGCGGGCTGGTCCTCTCCGCACACTTTTGTCCGCTTTTACAACCTAGACCTGGCATCTACCCCAGGTTCCCAAGTTCTCTCTTCGTGATGTGCTCATAAGATACACACACACAGGCAGGGACTTGGTAGTATGGTGCAGTGGGTATTCTCGTTCCCAAAGCGAATCTCAACGCAGCTCGAGTTCCTTAAGGGAAACGTCTCTAGGTTACGTATGTAACCATGGTTCCCCGAGGGAACGAGACGCTGCGTCTCTTTGCCATACTCCCTGCATCCCTGCAGACGCTACTTCATCAAAGCAGGTTTGCGCTCTGCTGGATGCGCTTTTATACTTTCTGGTGCTTATGTCACCCCGCTCGTGATGTCTCGCTGCTCCATTGGGCTGATTTGACACGTGCTTCAGAACGCAGTCAAGCAGGGTGTTCCCAAAGTGAATCTCAACGCAGCGTCTCGTTCCCTCGGGGAACCATGGTTACATACGTAACCTAGAGACGTTTTTTAACGTCAAAACCCAAATAATACATTTAGGTTATAAAATTGTTGTAGGAACATTTTGAAATGTTTCTAAAATGTTGAAATGTCCTGTTTTTTGTCATGATTACAGCGTTATTTAAAGGTTATAAAAAGGTTTCTTTCAACATTCTACTAACTTTGTTTTCACCTGAAATTCAGTGTTATTTGAATGTTTATTTTTTTATATTCTAAGAATGTTAAAGTTTCCAGTTTTCTTGTCATGAATAGAGTGTTATTTAAAGGATACAGAAAATGTTTCTTGGAACATTCACCGAATACAAATAACATGATAAAGAATTTTGTACTACGAATGTTCCCTTTCATGGGAACTTCGAACTGCGTCCTCTAGGGGTCGCTATGGGGAACGCCTCGTCGTGACCCGTGTCTGAAGCATACATTGAAAAAACACCAACTCGTTGGCCGGCGACAGCCATGACGTCACTACCGGTGCGACTACAGTATAAATCGGTGCCGGGAGCTACACATCATTCTCTTCTTCGTCTTCATTGACTGTTCTGTTTGAAGCGTGCATTTTCAAGGAAAAAGTAAGAGCTATCTATTAATATTATGGCGAGCACTAGTAGAGCATTTAGAAGGTGTGTGCATCCGTGGCAGCGCTATTTGACACCAGATGACACACACGATCTATGTGTTGTTTGTTTGGGCGAGGATGTTGTTCTTCGAATGTTTTTTCTCAGTGTTAAAGAATGTTCCATGAACATTACTAATTTATATAACTTTTAAAAAACACAAGTGAAAGTTGTGAGAATGTACCCTGCTAGCTGTGAAGCAGTTAGTAAATAAATAAAAAATAAATATCAAAATGAAGTGAGTTAATGCTTAAAACAAGAAAAATATCTGGCAATGGGGTAAGAAAAATAAACTTAATTCAACCAGAAAAGTTTTTTTTCTTACACCATTGGCAGTTTTTTCTTTTTCTTGTTTTACGCAAAACTCATTTAATTTTAATAAATTTTTCAGAAAACAAAATATGGATTTAAAATTTTATGGCATTTTGCTTCTCAAGTAAATTGATCTTGATTTAAGAATGTTTAGATATTTGTACTGGAAAAACAAGACTGAGTAAGAAGATAATTTTTTGAAGTGCACAAATACGATAACAAATTAGAAGAAGATTGTACCTCTTGGCTATAGTGAGTCAGTTAAAACAATTCATTAAGGATTCAGTCTGAAAGATTTGTTCAATATTAGTCTCTATCAGTTGGAAAACTCTGCTTATTGTGTATGTAAGTCACTGCACACACTCCGTCCTGCAGAATATCTGTGGACTGAGCAAAATCGAGAAGCTGAGTGAGAGAGAAGGAGAAATGTCTGGCCTCTGTATCTCCTGAAGAACGACTTTCCCCTGACAAGAAAAACAGAGCACAACATTTTAATAAGGGTCCCACCTCAGGGACCCCTTAACCTGGAGTCTATTCAGATTTGATTCACACCAGAACTGCAGGTGTGTTAATAATTAATTGGAGTAAACAGTGGTTTATAAAGGGGGCCGGGCCGGGCCAGGCCAGAGCCGGATAATTGGCTCATTACGGATCAGTGCTAAGACAGACCGAGACCCTGGATACCAGCCTGAGGACCCACCAGGCCCAGTCCAATTAATGTCCCTGTCCCCTGCTACTGACAATGTGTGTGTGTGTGTGTATGTGTGTGTGTGTGTGTGTGATTTACACAATTGCTGCTCATAAAGCTCAAAATGGTCTGTGAGAGTCTGTAAGTTACAGCAATATTAGTGTGTACAGCTTACAGTCTTTTTCTGTATGCTTTCTTGACATATATAGGACAGCTGTACGGTTGTGTATTTGTAAAAATGCCCTTGTTCGTCCTCGTAGTGTCGCCGGCATTGAAAAGTAGGGCAGGGAATATTCCTCATGGTGATATAATAAGTCGTAAGTGTCACATCTAAGACCTCTCATAAACCAGAGACTTATGGAACCGATGCAGGCCGACCGACCAGCCTTCTATAATAATCATCCATCACCTCAACCATTTATCAGATATATCAATACAGCTGATTAACAACAGCATGTAAAAAAAAAATAGGTGCAATGGATTAAATTGTACATGATGTACTGTATATACTGTGTGTGTGTGTGTGTGTGTGTGTGAATTGTATTTATTTTATTTTTACTGTGTTTTTATTTGTATGTATTTTGTATGTAATTATGCATTTATTGTTATTACGATAGTCAGTACATGTAACGTGAAACAGGGACACTGTAAAATAAAGTGTTACCATTTATTTTATGTATATTTAATTATATTTTATTTGTATGTGTTTATTTATGGCTTTATTCTTTTTATTTTAATATATATATTTTATGTATTTATTTTTATTGTTTGTATTTTATTTTATTATATTATATTGTATATACTTATTTTATGTACTTCCTTCTATTCATTTATTTATTTATTTTAATTTCAATGTAAAATAACTGGCTGACACTTTTAAAACTGTATTATCCAAACTGTATTATCCAATTTAACTGTATTTATCCAAAATAATTTCATTAAAGCTATGTTTTATCAGTTCTCTGGGAATCAAACGCATGACCTTGGTTTTGCTCACAACATGCTCCACTGTTTAAACTACAAAACACAGCAGAATTACTGGATGTACTTTTGAAGAGCTGAACCTCAGTTCGTACTGAAGTACTGATTTGTGGTGGGAGAACCGTGTG